GAAGAAAGGCATTCTTCACATCAAGTTGATGAATAGGCCAAGAATACATCACAGCTAATGCCAAAACAGTTCGAATGGTAACAGGCTTGACCACAAGGCTGAAAGTATCATCATAATCAATACCTTGTTGTTGTGTAAACCCTTGAGCAACGAGGCGAGCTTTGAAGCGCTCAATAGAGCCATCAACCTTCTGTTTTAGACGATAAACCCACTTGGAGCCAACCACATTGACAGTTGAAGGACGAGGCACAAGAGACCAAGTGTTATTCTTTAGCAAAGCCGAGAACTCATCCACCATTGCAGAACGCCATTCAGAGAATTGACAGGCTTCTTTAAAGGTTTTTGGTTCCCTGATGTCAGCTCCGGTAGCAAGCAAGGATGGCAGAACCCGAGGCTTCCGAGTGCCAACTTGAGACCTGGTAATCATAGGATGGATCCGCCAAGGAGGCTGCAAGGAAGGTGGGAGCGAAGAGGCAGGGGACAGGGGAAGTGAACAAGAAGCCATGGAAGGGGTAGCATGGGAGGCAGGGAGTTCGACAAGAGGATGAGGGGAATCTGTGGAAGAAGGGGAAAACTTCGATGGTGGTAAAGAGGGCAAAGCCGTGGAGGAAGAAAAGAGATGGTAAGGACAAGGAAGGAGAAGATGATGATACAGTATTAGGGATTGACTTGGGAGAGGCCGGCGATGATGGAGAAGAAGGTAGAATGGGCTGAAATGAGATTGGACTTAGGGAGGTAGTAGACACAGGCAGGTCATGGTTTTGGGCCAAGGAAGACTTAGAAATGGGCTTAATGAGAGGGAAATCCATGAGGTGAAATAGGCTGCGAAAATGGGGAAGTGGTGAACACACCAAGGCAGTGTAAGTGTAGCGAAAAGAGGTTTCATCAAAAACAACATGCCTCGAGATAATAATCTTATTGGTTGCCAAATCAAGACAACGATAACCCTTATGATGAGCCGGGTAGCCTAGAAAAATACATAAGGTAGAGCGAGGAGCTAATTTATGTGAGGCAGTGGCAGACATATTAGGATAGTAAGCACAACCAAATGTTCTCAAGTGATCATATTTCGGTGGGGAACCGAAAAACACCTCATGAGGAGTAAGAAAATGTAGCCTGGAAGTAGGTAATATATTTAGAAGATGAATAGCTACATAAATAGCTTCCACCCAAAATTTACCAGGCAAATTTGCTTGAAAAAGTAAAGAACGAACCATGTTCATGATTGTTCTATTCATGCGCTCAGCTTTCCCATTTTGTTGGGGAGTTGAGGGACACGAAGAATGGAGATGAATTCCATGAGTATGGAAATAGGATGCAAATTGAGAGTTATCAAATTCACGACCATTATCACATTGCAAAGCTTTGATCTTAGCACCAAATTGAGTAGACACAAAAGTAGAAAATTTAAGAAAAGAATCAAACACTTGAGCCTTAGATGACAAAGGATAAACCCAGAAATAATGACTATATTCATCCAAAAATAACAAATAATATTTAATCCTGGAAAAAGACAGTGTAGGTGATGTCCAAACATCGGAATGAATCAACTCAAATGGTTTAGTAGCAAAAGAACAAGACTCAGAAAAAGGAAGACAAACATGTTTCCCAAGTTGACATGCATGACATAAACGTGGTGGCAAAGTAACTCTTTCAATTGGAAGAAGACCACGTCTAGCAAGGTGTTGAAGAGGAGCGATGCCCGGATGACCAAGACGACAATGCCACACATCAGGAGAATGCGAAACAGAATAGACAACAGGATAACTGGGGAAGGAACCACTAGAGAATGAATACAAGCCATTCGGACTATTGCAACGAAGGAGGACGTTCTTCGTCTTGTTGTCCTTAATAGAAAAACCAGAGGAATCAAAGTTAACACTACAATTATTATCATGAGTAAACTGACGAACATAAACAAGATTTTTGGTAAGATGTGGAGCAACCAAAACATTATTAAGACGAAATTGAGAGTTGGCAGTAGAGAGAAAAGCATTACCATGAGAAGTAACAGGCAATAACTGACCATTACCGACTTGATAAAATTGGAGGAAGAGGAAGGAGTGGAGTGAAGTAATTTACCAGGATTGTTGGTAGCATGGGTTTGAGCTCCACTATCAAAGTACCAATTGGGATCCATAGGAGCAGGAACTAAATTTGCATATAGTGACTGGGGTGCAGAGGAAGCAGAGGTAGGTCTGGCAGTTAAGAAAGAGCAATCACGTGCTTGATGACCCAGTCGATTACACCATTGACAAGCAATAAGGGTTGGCGGAGTTGGCAGTAATGGGGGTAAGGCACGGGTAGAACTATTGGTAGAATGAAACCCAGCCACTTGGCCATCAGACTTTGCAAACAAAGACCCATTAAGACCAGCACCATGAGTCCCAGAATAACTAGCTGAAAAATCAGAGGCACCATGAGCAACATTGCCAAAGCCGCGACCAGAATAAGAATGGCCAGAAAAATTTGAACGATGATTCCAGACAGTACGACCACTTCCGCGAGATCCCCGACCTCGATTAGTCCGGCCTCCCCTAAAAGAATTATTTCGACCAAAACCATGACCTCGTTGCAAAGGAGCAGCATAATGAATCTAGAGATCAGAAGGGTGAGTAAGTTGCAACAATTGACTGGAACTAGAAGAGCCATTCATCAATGAGCTAGTTGAGGATTCCTGCAAAATATTAGCTTCCTCAATCAACAGTAGCGATCGCAATTCCAAGAAGGTAGGGAAGGGAACACGTTGAGGAATAGTGCGCTTTGCCACTGAAAAGGAATGATCAAGACCAACAATAGTTCGAAGCACTAAATCTTTATCAGATACTGGATGACCAATTCCGAAAAGCCGATCAGATAACCTCTTGACATACTGCAAATAGTCCATAACACTCTGGCCAGACTGCTTCTGAATACCACTGAATTCTTGAGTTAATTGGAGTGCAGTAGCACTAAGTTGGCTTTGGTACAACTGATGAATGGATTCCCAAGCTAATTTTGCTGTGAGTTGCTTACCAGGTTGAAGAATAAATTGAAGAATGTCTTTTGATATAGTGGCCTGAATCCAAGACAGAACCATCAACATGACCATAAACGCCTTTGCTTTTCAATACAAGAATCATCAATTCCTTCCACACAAAAAAATTAGTGTGATCAAGAGTTTTTGCCACATAATTCCGAATATTGGTGACGGAGAAAACAGGATGAGAGAAAACAGAAGAGGCAAGGGTTGTGGGTAAAGAGGAAGAAGTAGGAGGAAAAGGAGGAATAGGGATTGACGGCGTGACAGACACAACAAGGGAAGAAGGGGCAAACATTGTAGAAAGAAACGGAGGACTAGTGGGAATAGGAGAAGTAGAGGAAGGAGACAAAGAAGAAGAAGACGAAGACTCATCCATTGATGTAGAGGCATAGCAAAATAAAAAACCTAGGGTTTTTTTTTTTTTTTTGGAATTATTTGGTGCTAAGAGAAAGCTCTGATACCATAAAGAATATTGAGGTTGAATCAATCTTTATTAGGTTATAATCAGGGTATATATACAAGATGTATAGAAGTATATTTACACTTCTAACCCTATACGATATACACGTGTATTATGATAT